TCTTAACCATGAATGGATGTTGAATTTTTGTCAGGTGCTTTCAGCATCATTTGATATGCTCTGATATTATGATGGGTTACATCAGCTGATTTTAAAAACTGTGATATAATTCACACACTTTAACATTTACCATTTTAAGTGTATCCCTCAGTGGTTTTTAGTATGTTTGCAGGGTTGTGCAACCACCACTATCTAATTCTGGAACATTTTCTCTGTTCCCAAAATAAACAACATACCTATTAGCAATCACTCCCCATCCTCTCTTCCCCCATGAACCTACTTCCTATCTTCATGGATTTGCCTGTTCTGGACACTTCCTTGTATACAGAATCATCAACATGTGACCTCTGTCAGGCTTCTTTCTCTTTGCATAGTGATTTTTTAAAAAGATTTTATTTATTAACGAGAGACAGAGAGAGAGAGAGAGGCAGAGACACAGGCAGAGGGAGAAGCAGGCTCCATGCAGTGGGCCCGACGTGGGTCTTGATCCCGGGTCCCCGGGATCATGCCCTGGACTGAAGGCGGTGCTAAACCACTGAGCCACCCGGGCTGCCCTGCACAGTGATTTCATCCTTGTAGTGTGCATTAGTACTTCATTCCTTAAGGCAGAGTAATATTCCATTGTATGGACATTCCAGATTTGCTTAAGCATTCATCCACTGATGAACATTTGGGTTACTTCCACTTTTTGACTCCTATGAACATCCATGTGCGAATTTCCATGTGTATGTATGTTTTCTTTTTTTTTGTATGCATGTTTTCATTTCTCCTGTTCATATACCTGAGAGAAGAATTGCAGAACTCTGTGTTTAACACTTTGAGGAACTGCCAAGCTGTTTTGCATGGTAGCTGCATTATTTTATATTCCTATCAGCATGGTTTCCAATTTCTCCACATCCTCTCCAACACTCATTTTTCTTTCTTTTAAAGGATTATGGTCATCCTGGTGGGTGTGAAGTGGTGTCTGGCATTGATTTTTCCATGGATTAATTAAAATACTGGACTGCTATGATATTCCTGGCATAAAGTCTATGTGGTCATAGTATATTGTTTTTAGACATTCTTACATTCTATTTGCTAATACTTTGCCAAAGATTTTTGCTTTTATATTCTTGAATGATATTGGTGTGAAACTGTTCTCTTCTTATACTCTCTCTGATTTTGGTGTCAGGGTAATTCTGAGCTCATAAGATTAATTAAGGAGTGTTCTCTTCTATTTTCTGGGAAGAACTTGTGTAGAATTGGTGCCTTTCCTCCTTTAAATTTGCCAGTTTTTTCGTCTGGGTTTGAAATTTTTTTTCTGAGGGTTTTAAACTATAAATTTAGTTCATTTGGCAAATGATCAGTCACATTTTCTATTTCTTCTTTGGTGAGTTTTAGCTGTTTGTGTCTTTTAAGCCATCCATCCATTTCATCAACTTTTAAAACTTCCATACATCATAGGACACTATCAAGACAGTGAGAAGACAACCACAGAATGGGAGAAAATATTTGCAAATCATGTGTCTGATAAGGGATTTGTACCCAAAATATTTGAAGAACACTTACAACTCAATAATAAAAAGAGATAATCCAATAAAAAATAGGCAAAGGAGGGTTGCCTGGGTGGTTCGATTAAGCATCTACCTTTGGCTCCTTTGGCTCAGCTCATGAACCTGGGGTCCTGGGATTGAGCCCTGCGTTGAGCTCCCTGCTCTGTGGGGAGCCTGCTTCTCCCTCTCCCTCTGCCTGCTGCTCCCCCTGCTTGTGCTCTTTGTCAAATAAATAAAATCTTAAAAAAATAAAAATGGGCAAAGGACTCTAGAGAAGATACACTAATGGCCAGTAAGCACATGAAAAGGTGATCAACATCATTGGTCATTAATGGAATGCGGTTCAGAACCACAAGGTACCACCTCACACTTCCAAGGATGGCTGTAATGACCGACAATAATAAGTGTTAGCAAGGACAGAAGAAGTTGAAACCCTCACACATTGCTGGTAGGAATGTAAAATGGCACAGCTGATGTCGAGAACAACTTGGAAGTTCCCTCAAAATTCTGGAACATATAGCCAAGTAAAATGGAAACATATTTGCACAAAAACTCATGCACCAAGTTTCTTAGTGGCATTGTTCATGAGAACCAATAAATGGAAACAGATCACATGCCCAACTGATGAACAGATAAGTAGTGGTATATCCATACAATGGAACATTATTCTGTATAAGAAGGGATTAAGCACTGATACATGCTAGGACATGATGAACCCTGAAAATATACTGAAAGATCAGGCACAGAAGACTAGATATTGAATGACCAAAGCATATCTATCTCCAGAGACAGAAAGCAGATTAGGGGTTGCCTAGGGCTGGGGGAGGGATGAACTATGTGTGTGGGGTATTAGAGAATGACTTAATAGGCATAGGCTCTCCTTTCGGGCAATGAAAATGTTCAAAAATTAAACTGGTGATGGTCACACAGCTCTGAAGACATAGAAACTACTTTAGAAGTAGGTGACTTGCATGTGAATTGTGTCTCATTTTAAGTGTTAAAAAACCAATTAGGACATCAGAACCAAGTACGGGCTGCAGCAACTCTGGATATTTTCTTCTTTGCTTGTGTGTCCATCAGCTACCTACCCTCCCTTCCCTTATTTGATGTAAACGTTTTGATGATATTGGTGGCGAACTTCACTATTTTAGTTACGGAACAAGCAAGTGGAATCTGAGTGATGGATATGACGACTCTAGCATGCTGCTATCCCTCTCTTTTAGGAAGAGAAGGGTGTGTCTAGGCACAAAGGATCCTTGCTCCTAGTTGGGGGTAGCCTGAAGTTGTTAAGAGTACCATAATTATTATTGTAGAAAGATGTGTATGGGTGACAGGTAGCTAATGGGGTGGACTGTGCTAGTTACCCTGTCTCAGCCCTAAACCCACTCCCATTTTCTGTGATGCTGCTGTTGGACCGCTGAAAACTACATTTCCCAGGCTTCCCTGGCAGCCAGTTTCCTGTTAAGGTTGGCCTGCTAATAGGGGCCACCTGGGGGAGACCTGGAAGTGCAAAAAGGGAAGGGACTTTCTTGTGCCCTCCTGCACAGTCAGCAGGGGCAGATTTTTGGCTCCAGCACTACCATTTCTGCACCCACCTTCTTAGAAATTCCAGCATCAACTGCTTAGGATCCAACCCTCCTGCCAACACACATCAAAGATCCAAGCACTGCAGGGGCACCTGGGTGGCTCAGTCTGTTAAGCATTAGGCTTGATTTTGGCTTAGGTCGTGATCGCAGGATCGTGAAATCGAGCCCCGAGTCATGCTCTGCACTGGGTGTGAACATGCTTAAGATTCTCTCTCCTTCTGCCCCCCCTCTGCTTGTGTGCTCTCCAATCCCCCCCGAAAAAACACCTTTATTTCTTAAAAGTTCATTTATTTTTAAATATTTATATTTATTTTTGAGAGAGAAAGAGAGAGAACAAGCAGGGGAGTGGCAGAGGGAGAAGCAGACTCCCCACTGAGCAGGGAGCCCAACATGGGACTCAATCCCAGGAATCATGACCTGAGCTGAAGGCAGATGCCCAACCGACTGAGCCACTCACTCACCCTAAAACTTTATTTTTTTTAAAGATTATTTGAGAGAGAGCACGAGTGGGGTGGGCGAGAGGGAGAAGCAGACTCTGCTAAGTAGGGAGCTTGACACATGGGCTCGATCCAACTCTGGGATCGTGACCCGAGCCAAAGGCAGATGCTTAACTGACTGAGCCACCCAGGTGCTCCTCAAAAACAAACAACCCCACTTTAAAAATCCAAGCTTTGGTCTCATAGGGCTCCTCCCTCCAAGGTCCTAGCCAGCTTCCAAGATGACCTCGTGATCCCTTCTGGTACAGGTATGCTTGGCCTTGGGTAGCCTGCTCTTACACTGAATATAGGTTGGCCTGTGTGACCACTGGAATATGGTGGAAGTAATGCTGTGACTTCTGAGACCAGGTCATAAAAGGCTTGGGAGCTTCTGCTTGGCTCTTTTGGGATGCTCACTCTAGAGTATGCAGCAGGGATGCTCAAAGAGCCTGGTAGAGAGGCCCTGACAGGGACTGAGGCCTCTGGTCAGCAGCCAGCCATGTGAGGGAGACACATACAAAAGTCCTTGGAAATGGACTCTCCAGCTGGTCATATCCTCAAAGGATTGCAGCCCAGACAGTATGTGACCAAAACCTCAGGAGGGACCCTGGACCAAAGTCATCCACCCTACCTCAGGAGAGCCCCGGACCAAAGTCCCCCAGCCTATCTCAGGAGAGACGTGGACCAAAGTCATGCACCCTACCTCAGGAGAGACCCTGAACCAGGGTCACCCACCCTACCCCAGGAGAGCCCTTGACCAAAACCACTCACCCAAGCTGCTCCCAAATTGACAGACTTAAGCCATAAGCAACCACTATTTTTTCAAGCCACCAAATTTAAGGGGTGATTTGATATGCCAACACCAGATAGCTAAAGTCACCCTCACTTTCCCTAAATGCCCCTGCTGGGGGGCAGTAACTCCTTCCTGAAATTCCCCATCTCTGGGTTGTCCCAGCGTCACTTTTCAGCTACTATGTCAACAACTCCCTTGCATTTAATGCCCTCTATTTGAAATAACCAGTGCGATTTGTTTTCTTGACTGGACCTTACATTTTAGAAAGGAGAGGACATTATTATCACATGAGAGCAGTGCCTACCCTAGCATCTCCTCCTCCCCGCTCCCAAAGCTGCTCCCACCGTATGGTCCCCACCTGCCCTCCACTCTCGTCTTCCCACCAGGCTTCTAGTCACAAAGGGCCACTCTCGTTCCGGGCTCCTTGCGCCCCAGACATATATGGCGACCGGGAACCTGGTTGGGGAGTATGAAATTTATTTTATTGTTCTGTGTCTAGGTTTTCTTCCTTAGACATCATGATTCCTGGATGGAGGCGGACATGTCCCACGCTCCCTGACCCGCAGTCCCACGGGCCTGTTTGGATTGTTTTCCAGGCTCAAAGTGCACTGAGGAGGCTTCACAGTTTTAATACTTCCTAGATGCTCAACTGAGGCAAAGTGACAAAATGGCTCCCCCACCCCCGCCCGCCAGAAAAATAAAGCCCCAAGCCCTCTGACAGCAGCTGCTACAGCCGTATGAAAAAATAATACAAATTCTTCTCAAAAAATAGATTACACAGAAAGAACCCAGAGGACAGAGGGCCACGGGGAGGGGCGGCCTGGGGAGAAGCCCGGGAGGGGCACTGAGATGGACTTTGGGGATTGGGATGCTGGTGGACACCTGCCTCGTCCGCTCTGCCCAGCGTCCCTCTGTGGCTCCTCCCGGCAGCTCTGATCCAGGGATCTGGCTCCCCTCTCCCCCAGCAGACCCTCCCTTCACCCTGAGGCCTGGTACCTGCTGCTTCTCACTAAAGTGGCTTCGAGAAAGAAATGAAGAGACCCAAAGCAAGAGAGGCCTGCGGCTTAGCTACTGGGAACTCCCACCCTCCAGAGGCAGACCTCTCTGTTTGGGGGTTTGGGTAACTATCAATACCTGCTACTACAGAGACACCACCCGCCGGGGGGGTTGACGCACCCCAGAATGCAGCCTCTCCCTCATTTGGTGCCCTCCTACGAACACAGCCTTGACCAGTCCAGTCTGAGGCTGTCTACTGGCCTGGCCTCAGAGAAGCCACAGACGGGGAGTGTGCGCAGGACGGCTAGGGGCAGCGGGGTGGAGGATGGGGCAGGACTCACACGGGCCCTCCAGCTCATGCAAGGAGAAGCGAGAGGGGTTGGCCCCACCAAGACAGGTAAGGCAGGGTGAGGTGACGGCGTGTGTGCAGCCAGGCCAGCTCTGGGGCCAGGGGCAGAGATGGGGCAGGGGCCACGGCCCACAGGCTAAGAGAAGGCAAGTCAGGGCCCGGTGCTGGGGAGGAGTCTGGGTGCCTGCTGCCCAGCTGGGGGCTCCATGCCCGGGCCACGACCTGTAGAGGAGTGTGGTACAGGGTGGGTCCTCCAGAGGTGGGCACGGGGGCAGCCGGGTGGGCTGGGCTCAGTCAGGGACCTCGGGGTGAGCGGGCAGTCCGCTCTCGCCTCGCCGGTAGGTCTCCCAGAAGCTCCTGTCCAGTTCTTCCAGCTGCAGGCCCAGTGGCAGGTGGCTGGCCAAGTGCATGCGGAGGGTCTCCAGCCACTGCTCCAGCTTCATGAAGGAGGGCCTGGGGTGACAGGCGGATGGGATGGTGGGTTCTGCTCTGCTGGAGACTGGCCCTACCCCTAGGGCTGCTGCAGGCGGAGCGCTGACTGCACTTACCTCTTCTCGGGGTCCAGATCACAGCAGCGCACAGTTATGGGGAAAAAGCTCGGCGGGCAGTTTGGAGGGCAGTAACGGTCCAGGAAGCCCCGCACATTGAGGCCAAAGTCCATGGTGCGGGGCAGGTAGTCGGGGTCCGCATTCACCCGCCCAATGATCTGTCCAGCACAAGGCCCAGAAGTGACCCAGGGTGGCGGGGGTTGGGGGTGGGTCTCAGGGGCTGGGCACTACCCAGGCAGGTTTAAGAGCAGGTCACACTTGGTCTGGTACCGCCTGAGCACCACACCCCCTGGGGGTACAGGTTGCTGTGGGCAGCCCCATTCCAAGGAGCTCCCCTCTCCACCCCTTGGGGCTGGGGCCCCTGCAGACTTCCAGCCTGCAGCCTGATGCCAACTGCCACCCATCCCTGGACCTACCTCACACAGGACGATTCCAAAGGAAAACACATCCACCTTCTCATCGTAGCTGCGGCCTGGATGAAGAGATCAGCTGTCAGCAGGTGAGGCTGGATCAGGAGGCAGAGGCCACTGACCTCCATGGGACCGCGGCTTAGGCTCTGCCCACCACCCCCACCAGGTCTGAGCAAACCTTTGAGAGGTAAGGAGAGAGCTCTGGGCAGGGGGCGGTTCCAGGCCCAGCTTGGCCACTGACCAGCTGTGTGACTCTAGGCAAGTCATGGACCACATAGTGGCCCTGAAAAGCATCCGTGTCAAACCCCTGGGATGTGTGATAATTACTTTATTGGAAAAAAGGTCTTTGCAGATATCATTAAGGATCTCGAGATGAGATAATCCTGGATTATCTAGACAGGCTCTAAGCACCACTGCAAGTGTCCTAAGAGAGAGTGAGGAGGAAGAGACACAGGATTGGTGGTGGCCCTATGCCTGGGAATGCCAGGACAGCCACTAGGAGCTGGAAGCAGCAAGGAGTGGGTTCTCCCCTACAATTCCTGGAAGAAGCATGGCTCTCCTGGACTTCAGACTTCTGGATTCCAGAACTATGAGAGAATACGTTTCTATGGTTTTAAAGCACCCAGTTTGTGGCAATCTGTTGACAGCAGCCCCATGGACTGACACAGACTCCCTGAGCCTCAGGCTCTTCAGCTGTGAAATGGGGAGACTGCAGGATGTTAAACACGACCAGGACAGCAACGCTCACGTAGCAGATTCCAACTGGTTTACACACTGGTTTCCTCACAGCCCCCCGAGAGGTAGGGAGTTAGCGCCATTTTGCAGGTTAAGTCATTGGGGTGAGAGGCGGGTGGCTATGTTAAAACTCCGGTTGGGGCTGGCGCGGAGATGCCCCTGGCTCCACCTGCCCTGACCCTGTGCGTGCTCAGCCCCTACCCAGGCAGGGGCCCTACAGTCCACGGTGTGGGCATCTGGAGGTCACCGTGTGATGGGCCTGATGAAAAAGAAATGGAGTGGGAGAGAGGACCCTGGGTGGGCCAGGCTGTCCACCACCTGCTCCCTGGGCCCCGTGAAGGCACTGCCTGGCATGGGATGTGACGGTGTGATTACGTTCAGGATCTGAACATGGGCAGAGGATGATACAACCACAGAGGTCCTAATGAGAGGGGGGCAGGCATGGAAGGAGACCTGATGATGGACACAGATGTCAGAGAGGGTGCCAGGGTCCTCGCCTTTGTTGGAGCTGACAAGGGCCTGGCCAAGGGCCTGGGCCAAGGACTGTAGGCTACTAACGAAATGGGTTCTCCCTTTGAGCTTCCAGAAGGAACTTGGCCCAGCCAACACCTGACTTCAGGCTGGTGAGACGGACACTGTACTCCCCACTCCTACTAGAACTAGATGGTAATTTGTTTTTTTAAGCCAAGTGGGTGGTGATATGTTACAGCCGATGGGAGACGGACGAGTCACAGGACCCAAGGAGGGTGCGGAGGGGAGGAGGTGGAGGCCAGGGATGGGGGCCCCTGCAGCCCTGCCGGCCCACTCACCATTGATCATCTCAGGCGCCATCCAGTATGGGTTGCCCACTACCGTGTATCGCTTCTTGCGATCTGACTTCTTGATGCTTCGAAGGCCTCCGGGCTGTGTCTTCTCTTCCACCATAAGCCGTGCCAGCCCAAAGTCAGCCACCACCACATTCTTGTTCTGTGGAGACAAGAAAGCAGGGGCCACATTGAGACAGGCTCCTGGTGCCACCTGCCCACTCCACTCCTCATCAGATGCTCAACGGATGCCCTCTGTTGTGGGGTGGAAACCGGGATAGGCCACCCTCTCCTCACCCCCGGCACACCACCCTGGCTCAGCCCTGCAGTGACACCCATCGCCAGCAGGAGCAGCCTGACAGGCTCCTCGGAGGAGGGAGGCAGGGAATCCAGCCTCGCCCACCTCTCTGTGCTCACAGCCCACTGCTTTCTGAAGCCTACGTGCCCCCACAGCCTCCTGGAAGTTCCCATCAACCCTGCCAACTCTACAGTGACCAACTCATTGCTTCCTGAATGTCATACTGCCTGGCCTTTGCACGTGCTTTTCCTATCACCTCAAACACTTCTTGTACTGAATTCATTTGGCAAACGCCTGCCTGGAGAACTTCTTCATCCAGGACTGGATCTCAACCTGCCTGTAGTGTGATGAATAGTCTCCTCCTCCAAATTCACGTCCGAGAATCTCGAAGTGACTGTATTTGGAGACAGGATTTTGCAGATGCTACCAGTTAAGATGAGATTATACGAGATCAGGGTGGGTCCTAAATCCAGTGCCTGATGTCTTTATAAGAAGAGGATGCACAGACACACGGAGTGAAGACTCAGGCAGAGGCTGGAGTCATGTGGCTGCTGGCCAAGGAACGCCAAGGAGCGCTGGCGCCTCCAGAAGCTGAGAGAGAAGCACGGGACAGATTCTCCCTCTGAGCCTCTAAGAGCCAACCTTATCAACACCTTGGTTTGGGACTTTCTGTTTCCTAAACCCTCCGAATACATTTCAGTTGTTCCAAGCCATCCAGCCCATGGTTCTTTGTGATGGCAGCCCCCAAGAAACTAGTGCACCCCCTCTCCAGCTGGGCACCATCAGCCACCCCCTCCCTTCGCTGCCTCCTGCAGACAGCCTACGGTCCCCTCCATCCCCACCCTTCAAACCCTGGGCTCCCTGCCCCCCCCCTTAGTTGTCCACTTCAGTATGCCCCCCTCCAGGGCCTCTTTCAGAAGCTGGCCTTGACCATGCCAGCCCATGTGCTCAGGCCCTCCTCCAGGCCCGCGGTTGTTGTTGCCTGTTGCCGTGTGGTGTAGGCCTGGCCACTCTGCCCTGGGCGGGTCTGGCATCGCAGGGCACATGAGCCTGAGCCATTACAGATGACCCATCACTTTCTCCTTCATCCGTTTATCAGAGCCTCCTAACAACCTGGGGTGCTGACGGCTCAGAGGGCTGGAGCCATGATCCAAGCCTGCCTCCCGGCGCTGCTTCCGCTCGGGCCAGAAGAGGCCCGGAAGCGGCCAGCCAGATCCCTGTCCCAGAAAGGCCAGGGGTGCAGGGCGGGGCTCCCGCGCTCTCTCCCTCTTGGTCCCAGGTTGCTCACCTCTCGGACCAGGCAGTTGTGGGAGTTCAGGTCCCGGTGGATAATGTTCATGGAGTGGAGGTAAGCCTGGGGGCAGGGAGCATGAGGTCAGGGGACAGCTGTGCTGAGGCACCCCCCCACCCCACCCCAGGGCTTCCACCTCCCCTCCTGCCCCAGGCTGGTGAGTGAGGCGTACTCTTCCCACCCCCACCTGATCCCCTCTGCTCTTTACCAGAGCTTCCCCATGGCTTCTGTCTCTAACTTCCTTGTAAAGTTTTAGGTTAGTGGGACAGAATCTTTTTATAAGTGGGGTCAGATCGCCCAGCCCATGGTCCCAAAGCCCACTCACCATCCCTGAAGCGATATCCTTGGCAAAGCTCACCCTCTGAGTCCACGGGTACTGGCTGTCCTGGGGGAGTGGGGAGAGAAGGGCCAACGGAGGCCGCGATGGCAGAATGGTTGGGGGGAGAGAGACGCCAAGGGAGCAAGTGTCCCAGAGAATCCAATGACCCCCCCCATTCTCTTTTGTACCTCCACCTGTCCGCAACTAAGGGGTGGGGGTGAAGAGCTCAAAGATATCATTTTCTGGGATGCCTGGGTGGCTCAGTCGTTGAGCGTCTGCCTTTGGCTCAGAGTCCCGGATCGGCCTCCCCCCAGGGAGCCTGCTTCTCCCTCTGCCTGTGTCTCTGCCTCTCTCTCTCTCTCATGAATAAATAAATAAAATCTTTTTAAAAAGGTATCATTTTCCACTATGTGATTTCAGACACAAAGTGGGGCATACTGCTGTGCAACTCCCGATCCAGCTCTTTGGAGGAAAAAAACCTCTATCTTCAACACAATCCCAATCTTTCAGATTTTTAGAAAATCGGAACCTACTTTTGTGTATCTCTGTAGGCAGAGATAGACGGGCCCAATGAGATCACCTGTAGGGAGGGCACCAACGAGTAGGGCTCTGGCCTCAACTCATCTGGGGAGACACCTGGTTCTCTCACCCCACCCATGCAGAGACCTCCACTGGGCAGGTGGGGACAGGAGAGTGCTGCTACAGATCCAGAGCGTGGTGAGGAAGCCCAGGTGGGTGTAGCCTGCCATTCCCAAACTGCACTCAACCACAGAATCCTTTCTGAGAAATTGCACCTGTTAGGAGCCTGCTGGGGCTGCAGCCTGGGGGTGGTGGTGAGGAATCTGGGGTGCACAAGGGGAACGCTGAGATGCGGCACCATCCGAGAGCACCAGAGTGCTACAAGCTCCTCCTCAAATACTTCCTCGGTTTGGATTTGCAATTTTTATCTGAACCCTTAAAGAGAGTTCGGAATTGTACAGAACACAGTAAATAGTAAGAAGGCCCACTTACTAGTAAAAAGAGGTAATAAAGGTGCCTTTCCTGAGCTCTTGCGCCCCGTGGCAGGCAAGTCTGAGTCTGGCAGCTCTGGGCCAGGGCAGGGCCAGGCAGTAGGTCCCCAGGACGGCCACCCTGAAATAGCCTGTGTGTCTCCAACCTCGGCGAAGCGGGGACCCTCTCTGGACCTGAGCTTTAGCTGGGAGTTGATGGCTCCCTGTCGGGCTCAGAATCAGGGTTTGGTGACCTGAGAGAGCCTTGGAGACCAGAGGCAAACCCCACTGAGGGGCTGAGGAAGCCTGGAGGGCAGCTGCCTGTCCTGGGCCCCTGGTGCTAGAGGCGGGCATGGGAGGGGAGGGGGGAGGTGGGGGACTGGGTTGGCACTCACCATGCTCTTGATGATGTCCCGGAGGGTACCCCCCTTGATGTACTCTGTGATGAAGTTGAGCCTCTTGTCCTTGTAGAGCACTCCAATGAACTTGAGCACGTTAGGGTGCTCCAGGCATCTCATGACCTTTACCTGGTGGGGGTGCACACAGGCCAGGCCTGGGGCTGTGCCTGAACCTCCTCCTCCCTGTGCCGCCCTGTGCCCTCCTCCCGGGGCACCAGGGGCTCAGCCACCTCACAGGTGGGAGTCCCTGCCCGTCAGACCACGGTGCCTGTCTGCTTGGGTTGTGCCCCCCACTCCAGCTCCCCCTCCCCCAGCCGGGGGACAACCTCCAGCGAGATACTTTTTCTCCCTCCAGCATGTGGCTGGAGCGACCCATCCTCCCGGAAGCCTGGCTACCCCCTCAGCGGAGAGGTCTGGTGAGGAGGCGGCGTGGCAGTTCTGCTCACTGACCTCCTTGAGGAACGTCCTCTGGGTCTCTTCATCAAACCGGATCAGTTCCTTCATCACCATCACTTCGCCTGTCTCCCGGTGTGTCACCTGTGTGGGGACACCGAGGCACGGAGACTCGGTACTGACAGAGTTGCTCTTTGCCCGCCTGGTAGGCGGCCCCAGCCCCACCCCAGAACTGCCAGGGGACAAGGAGGCACATGGCTTTCACAGGCCTTTCAGGTGATGTCCCCAGCCCCCATGGGGCAGGACTTAACAGCTCCCTCATACGTGAGGAAATGGGGCCTCGGGAGGCTTCCTGACAGCACCCAAGGTCACCCAGCAGGAGGAGGGATGGCTTGGGGCTCAGGTGACCACCTGACCCAGAGACCAGCTCTTTCCTCTGCTCCACTGAGTGGTCTCCTGGAAACCCAAAGGCGGTTCCACCAGGGACTCCCCTGCCCTGGGAAGGGGACCAGGAACAGGGCCTGATGGGTGCCTTCTGTATAATCCTGAGCCTTCCAGCCTGGACACAGCCAGGTAACATTAGAGCCAAGGAAGGGTTCAATGTTAGTGTAGGAGTCTGTGAAGGGGGTACGCAGTGTAAGGGCCATGGAGGGTTGGCTTCAGGCTCAGGGCACGGCCCCGGGGAAGGAGCCTTCTGGGCCATCCCGGGCTGCCTTCCCACCCACCTTCCAACCACATCCTCCACATAAAGTTCTGGGTCTCTCTGTAGTAGGTTCCCTCCCCCTAACCAGCTTAGGGAAGCCCAGGTGGAGGAGAGTAGGGGCCAGGGAGTCTGGAAGCCCAGTGCTCCTTCCACTGTAGGTTTGGGTTCCTGGAAGCAGGCAGGACTGATAGGTCTCCCCTAGACTGTCCCCTCCCCCGTGCCCCCACCCCGCTCCCACTTCTCCCCCCACACCTGCCCAGGCCCATCCTATACCTTGATGGCCTGGCCGAAGCAGCCTTTGCCCAATACCTCCCCATGGATGAGATCCGATGGCCGGAAGATGCGGTGTGGCCGGCAGACCACACGGAGGGATTCAGAGCGACCCAGGTCCTTGCGCTGGGAGGCTGGGGAGCTTAGTGAGCCAGCACCCGGAGACCTGTCAATGCTGTAGCTCCTCCTGGGGAGACACACACGGTGCTCGGTGTCATAGGTGGCAGGTGGGCACCAGGCTTCAGCTTGGACCCCTTCCTCCTGCCTGCCACGCTCCCATCCACAGTTCATGTACAAGCAGCACCCCTACCCCAGTCCAGGAGAGGGTGGCACAGGGCAGCTCTCCTGGGAAGCCATAAGCCCCATCCTGATGCCAATGACCATAGCCCCGTCCTAGGCCTGCTATCCTGCGGGTGCCCTCTGTAGGACCGTCTATCCTTGGTCTTCTCTGCCTGGTGACCCTAGGTCAGAAGCTTTATCTCCCAGGACTTGGGTGCCAGGCCTCAGGGTGTGGTCCTGTCCAGGATGCCTGTAACCCTGCTATGTAGGTGGCTCCACAGGACAGCTCGAGCTCCAGACAAATGCACAGGAGGGGGAAATATAGGCCTTTGGCACCACTGTTTCTTAGACTAAAAGTGGTTTCTCCAGAGGATATCCCTGCAAAATTCTTCACCAGGAGTCCTGAGCAGGCCTGTGGTTAAGTGTAGTGAGGACCAGGCTGGCTCTGGGTCTCTTCCATGTGCTCCCCCCACTTCAGAGGGTCTGGGGCCCCTGGCACCTCCTTCTGGACCCTTGCCATGGCCTGTGAGCCATCTCTGGCCTTGAGCACCCTTGTGCACAGGGGACCAGAGTGCTCTCTGAAACACATCTCTTTGCCACAACAGCCTTTAGGGGACCTGCCATTCCCCAAAGACATTCCATGCTCCCATGTCCTGAGCTACCTGCTGGCTGCTCCTTGGAGCCAGGGCGCTGGTCCATTCTAGAAGTGCCATATAAACCCCAGCGAGGGGAGCTCAGTCCCCTACTTTCCCCCGTCTCGTGACCCTTCCCCTTTCTTAGCCCTCTGCAACCTTTGCTGGCCTGCTTCTTTGCAGGGCTGACTCCCCCACCAGACTGAGACCTCCTTGAGGGCAGCAAGCAGGTCCCAAAGCCCTGAAGCCCAATGCCAGTGAAAGTAAATACGACAAGGGGCTGACTTACAGGACAGGCTTCTGCCGGGAAGAGGTGCCCACCTCCCCACTGGGAGTGGGGGTTGGGGAGCCCAGGGGGCTGAGCTCAGGCCCTGGCCCGTGACCCGGGGTGTCATGGGGGTCATGCTCAAGAGTTAGCTGGAGCAGGCGGCTGGTTTCCTGGATCAGCAGATCAATCTGGGGAGAGCAGGAGTGTGGACAGGTGAGTCCAAGGTGGCGGAGAGGGAGGTGGGGGAGGAGTCAGGCATGAAAGCACCACCTCTAATCCCTGCTTGCCAGGCTGGGACCCGTACCTCATCCAGGGGCACGTTCCGGATGGGTGTGCCATTGATTTCCAGGATCCGGTCTCCCACATGGATGGAATTCTTCACATCTGGGCTCATGCAGCCTGGGTCCACTCTGTGAGGACAGAGTAGTGATCAAACCCCTGCCTGCCTGTCCACTGGAGCCCTGACAGGAACCAAGGCCATGGGAATCAGATCGGGGTGAGGCAGCAAATTAATTCTATTTTGCATGATTGACAACAACTGTATAGAGTCTGGAGTTCTGGATTGGTGAGGAGGAATTCTGTAATCGATTACTGATGTCTGCTGTGGGTGGCAAACCAGAGAGAAAGAAGTACTTGCTACTCTATACAGGATGCTCAGGGGCTCCGGTTCAACAGAGTGCTGTGTCTGCCATGAGGACAGACAGCTTTCCAACTGTCTATGTTCCAGGCAGACAAAGGTCACAAGATGGGTCCTCAGAGGGTCTGGATCCACTGAATTCCTGGTTCCCAAGCTTGCCCTGATAAGGCCACGGCTTCCACTCCTCCAGAGTGAGCAGGATGGGGCTTGCTGCCCACTCCGAGCCACATGATGACACCCACAATCTAACTCATGGAGTGGCCAATTTGTCAAATTTACTTGCTTCTTTTAACATTTTGGTTACCGTGTTTTCATTTTGTCTTCATGAAAGCTTTTTAAGGAATGTTTACTTTGTCTTTGCCCTGAGATGGGGAAGGGGTGAGAGATGGAAGAGAAAAGAGACTGGGGACTTTAAAAAAAAGGTTCCTGAGGGGCTGCCTGAGGAGGCTCAGGTCATGATCCCAGGTCCTGGGGTCGAGTCCCACATTGGGCTCCCTGCTCTGTGGGAAACCTGCTTTTCCCTCTCCCTCTGCCCCCATCGTGCTCTCTGTGTCAAATAAATAAATATTAAAACAACAACAACAACAACAACAAACAAGCCAGTAAATCTGGTCAGCAGTCTTTGGGCAGGCAGGGCTGCTTCTCCAAGGGGCACGGTCTATGCCGAAATTGCTGGGAAAGTAGATGCTGGCTGGTGAGAACCCTTATCCGTTGAGGGACGCAGGGAGAGGAGGTGCCGTTGGCTTTTCCGTTTCTAAAAGTCTGCCTGGTTTTGAGACCAGCTGGTCTGGGAGTTCCCCATCTCTCTCACCAGTCTGTGTGCCTGCTTGTGTATATGAGGCACCTGCTGCCCTGGCTGATGCTCAAGTTGGGGGAGCAGAGGCAGGGTCAAGGCCAGACGCATCCTTCCCCAGCATCACTCCCCTCCTGACCAGAGGGCCCCACCACAGTGCCGGAACCTGACAGCCATGTGAGAAGTGTTCACTGGATCCAATGGAAGCTGGCACTTGACTCCCAGGCCCGCTCAGGAGGACATTTAAAACTACTTTACTCAAGGAGTGGACCAAGGCCTAAGAGAACTCTTAGAAGGCTCCAAGGTGCCCAACTCCCTCAGTGTATAGACAAAGACCCTAAAGCCCAGAAAGGACAAGGGGCTGCTCAGCATCACATAGCATGCTGGCAACAGGAGCTGGCTCCTTAATCTGCATTTCTTCTCACATTTAAAACCTTTTCTACATCCTTTAGAATCTTCATTAGGCATGACCTACTCATACTAAATGTTGGTTTTGTATGCCTTAACATGTTTTTATTTCTCTCCGTTTCTTGAAGGGTATTTTCATCAAGGATAGAATCCTAGATTGATGGTGTTTTGCTCGGTGCATCAAATATATTATTCTGCTGCTTTCTAGCTTCCATGGTTTCTGTTGAGAAACCAGCTGCATGTCCCCCTGAAAGTAACTGATCTCTTTTCTATGGCCACTTTTTTTTTTGAGAGAGAGAGAGAGAGAGAGAGAGAGAGAGAGAGAGAGTAAGCATGCTCCAGGCAGACAAGTGGGAAAGTGGAAAGTGGCAGAGGGAGAGGGAGAAGCAGGCTCCCTGCTGAGCAGGCAGCCTGACGTGGGGCTCGATCCCAGGACCCCGGGATCATGACCTGAGCTGAAGGCAGATGCTCAACCAGTTGGGCCATCCAGGTGTCCCAGAGCTGGGTTCTCTATCTGCACCCAAAGGCTCACCCAGCCCTAGTGTCAGCCGCCCACCCAGAGGACCCACGGCCACAGGCAGACAGGCTGCCGCCTTGGCCAGCCACTCACCCCTGGACGCGGACGGTGTGGGAGTGCTCTGTGCTGCAGCCTGGCGGGCCGTGGGCAGGGTCAATGGAGACCGACAGGCCACGTTTGCCATGAGGTGAGGCGGGGATGGATACTAGGGTAACTGTGTGGGGCAGGCGGGAGCCGGGGGAGTCGGGCAGGACCTGCTCGATGGCGGGGGTCACCACAGTCTGGTAGTAGCAGTGCCCGCTGCAAGGGCCGCGGGTGGCAGAGACCCAAAGAGGGGGAAGAAAAGAGTGTCAGGGCAGTTGCCAGCATCACTACTCCCCCCATCTCCCGGCTCCAGGCTCCTCTCTCCCCCCCACTTCCCCTTACAGCACTCCCACCCCCCCAACTCCCACCCCAGCCCCCGCAAAACCCACCCCTTCCATGGCAGGAGGATTGCAGCTGCCTGATAGTCCTGGAGCAGCAACTGAGTGTGCCCGGCCCAGGCCTTGCCCCTCGCCAAAGCTCAGTCATTCTGGACTTGTCCACTCCCATCATGCTATAAACTGGCCAGGACAAGGCCAGTGACTAACCAGTTCAGGAGGAAGTCATTAAAAGCCCATTTGGGACTGTGCCATGCCTCCTGGGAATCCAGCTTTATCAGCACTGTATAATAAAGAATTTGCCTGGTCTTTGTTCTGGGAAAGTAGCTCTAAATCCTTGGAATCCGAGTGTCCTTCAGACCATACCTGAGCTTGTGTGAACCGAGGACTCAGGATGGGGGCTGGCTGCGGGCAAGGCCAACTATGTGACTGGGGGGGTGCCTGTGACCCAGTCCGACCTTGGAGGGGTGGGGGTGGGGCCAGGAGTGGCTAGAAAATAAGTTCAATCGTGCACCCAATGAATCAATCAATGATGCCTATATGATGAAACCCCAATAAAAACTGGTGATGCCAGGATGGCTGGGGGTGTCACATGCCCCGATTGTGTGGGGGAAAATGTGTGGAAGCTCTGCACTGGGGATCCTCCCAGACTTGACCACTCTCAGTGTCACTACAGTTGGCTGGCCCTCGTATGAAGGGATATGTAGGCTTTATAAAACCCCCGTAATCCTAAGTATAGGGCTTTCCTGAGTTCTTGGAGTCGTTTAGAGAATTATCAAACTTGAGGTGTTGTGGGAACCCCCGAACTTGGGGTTGCTGTTCGACGTGAGGGCAGTCCTGTTTGGGACTTGGCCTAAGTTTGCAGGGTCTGTGCCAGAACCTCAGTGACATCTGGCGCACTCTCACTGTGACTCCTGGGTCATTTCTCAGTGACCACTTCACTGTCCTTCTATTAACAACTGCCCCACCCAGGAAGGGGAAGGACCCTGGTGTGGAAGGTCTAGAATGAGGTGGGACCCCAGGCTTGGAGGGGACCAGGGGTGCTCACCAGTACAGCTTGGAGTGCTCCACCAGCGTGTAGGTGTCTCCGTCACCGATGAAGGTTCCGCACGTGAGGCAGATGAAGCACTCGGGGTGGTATTTCAGCTCCCCAGCCACCTGGCAGGAGGGTGGCAGGGATGATCCTTCAGCCCCCACAGCTCCTCCCCATGGCCTCTCAGAAGGGCAGCCCCAAACCAACTCTGGGGGCCTGGCTGGCCAGCTCTAGAAGGCTGGTTCTACGCATAGACAGACCAACGGGCTCAGAAGGCAGGGGGAGTCAGAGCCAGAAAAAAGGAACAGAAGAGAACCAGAGGAGGGAAACCCATGAGGACGCATGAGTGCCAGCAGCAGCTGTGGGGTGCGAGTGGGGTGGGGCGCTCACCATGACCAGCCCCTTGGTGATGTGCTCCGAGCACCCATGGCAGGCCTCTCCATAGCGGGCCCAGTAGTCCCTCTTGCAGAAGAGCTGTCCATCCTTCTCGTAGTATTGGTGTGAGAGGGAGGCACTGCATTCACAACACCTGGGTGGGAAAGGCCCAGGGACTCAATCTGGCCCGGCCCCCTTTCCCATAGCTGGGGGGGGGGGCTCTGGAAGAATCAGAAAAAGGTTTGCCCCCACCCCCACCCCTTGGGCAGAAGCAGCCTTTGCTGGGGCCCAGGGTTTAGCAGGTGGAGTCAGGGCTGGCTTCCACCTCCCTCAGCCCTTCAGCTGGAAGCCTCTGTGCAGTGCACAGCCTGTATAACCACCCACCACAGTTCTGCACCCAGAGCACCAGATCATCTGGCCAATTCCATCAGTCCCAGGGTGAGAGATGCTCTTCATATCTTGTCATACAAGGAAGATGGGCCAGAGAAGGGAAATGACCTATTCTTGCTCACAAGTCTGGTGTAGGGTGGAGATGGGAACCTGGGCACCCAGGACTCAGGTGGGGCTGGTGCCGATGGCAGTGATCCTGCAGAGCTATGAAGAGACCTACCAAATGCTGGTCCCTACTTAACCCACACAGGCCGCCCTGAGGCAGATGAACTCTGGAGGCTCCGATGCACCCAAGGTCATGTGATGGGCATCACAGAGTACAGCAAAACTACTCCCTGTTCCACTATGATATAAGGCAGGAATCTGGCTCAGCAGACATCAACCAGGATCAGTGAAGACAGATCTCCTTGTTTCCTAGACCTCATCCAGCCCTTGGGGGCCACAGCCCCAAGAAGGGGGCTTAGCCAGCCTTGCTAACTCCAGCTCAATCAGGGCCCCAGTGCCTGCACCTTCCCTCAGAAGAGCCGTCACACCATACACAGAACACTCAGATGTGCAGTGATCAAGGCCAGGACCCCCCGCCCCATCAGGAGGGGCTACAGTAGAGGCCTGACTGGGGGGAAATGATGCACCTGCTCCCACAGGCCAGGAGCTAGACCTAAATGCTTGGCTTCCTTCCACCCACGAGTGAGTTGGATGGGGACCAGGAGCTCAGCTAAGTCAGATGAGCAAATGCAGAAATGCATGATGGCCAGAGAGCCGGCAGGGCTTTGAAGAGCCTGACTGAGGGTCCTGGGTGCATAGGTTCATCTGAGCTAGAGTAGTGAGCAGAGGATGTGCTCAGCTCTGCTGTTGTTTGAGCACAAGGTCATGTGGGGACAGACCAGGGTACCAGGCTCAGAGCTCACGCCCAGTAGGGAAATGATCCAACAGAGAGGAGAGTAGGAAAGACTGAGGCCTGAGTAAGACTGCCTGGGGCCCAGGCAGCCAGGGAACCCTCAACCTCTGCAGCCAGCACATGGTCTCACACTAACTGTACTCACTGATGCTCTTTAGGAACTGGGGATAGGGACGCCTGGGTGGCTCAGCAGTTGAGCATCTGCCTTTGGCCCAGGGCATGATCCTGGAGTCCCAGGACGGAGTCCCACATCAGGCTCCCTGCATGGAGCCTGCTTCTCCCTCTGCCCGTGTCTCTGCCTTTGTGTCTCTCATGAATAAATAAAATCTTAAAAAAAAAAAAAAGGAACTGGGGATGAAGGGGAAGGAGAGGATGGCAGCCAGGAGTGTTGGCGGGACACTGTCCCTTTAAGAGGATCCAGACAGTTCCCCATTGTCTGGGAGCCTGAGGGGAGGGGCCGCTGGGGGCGGGGGGAGAAGGCACGGAATGCTTGGGTTCAGAAGCACGAGGTGGGGTGCATCGTGGAAGGGGGGGCCTGATCAGCTCCCCTGAGGAGAGGTGGGCGTGGGCGAGGGAGGGCCTCGGGAGACCGCGGTGGGACGCAGGAGCAGGCAGCGGAAGCAACACTGGCCCGGAGCCATGACGTCATGCGCAGCCCTTCCTCGCCGCCCCCCTCACCCTGCCCCGCCCGGGGCGCCCTTAGGGGGCGTGCACCTCGCTGCTCCGAGTGGGCGGCGGGCCAGGATGTGGGGGATCCCTAAACGGACGCCCCGGGCGGGGGCTCTAACCTTTCGCGAAGGTGCTCAGCAGAGGAGCCGGCTCCGCACAGAGGCGGCCGCGGGCCGCGGGCCGTGACCTTGCGGAGGCTCCTCCGCGGCCTGCGCGCCCCGGGCCACCAGTGAGTGATTCACTCTGCCCTTCCACCGACTAGACAGACGCTCATGCTCATCGGGTCACAGCAATGTCCCCGCAGAAGTCTCCCCCTCGCTCCTGGCTGCAGGGCTGCAGGAAGTGGCCCCGCCTGGCTCTGGGTGGGTGGGCTGGTGGGGGCTCCAGAGCAGCTGCCTTCCTCTGGGGGAGAGAATGCTCGACTCCAGCCTGCAAACTCCTATCCCTTCACTCCCGCACAAACATGCACAAACATTCCTCACCGCAGCAGCCCTGGAGAACCCCGCGCTGACTCACCCCAGCGCTGGGTAAGCGTAGTCGGCTCCCTGGTCACCACTTCCTTGAAGCCTACTCAGTCACCTGGCGGGGGTGCTCCCACAGACCGTCTGCAACACCCCCGTGCAGTCAGCACCGCCAGCCTTTTGTTGGCTGCACCAGTCTCTGCCACCAACCCTCAGGCTCTCTGAGGTCCCATGCCAGGCATCCGCAAATGCTAGACCCCAGGGAGAATGTAAGTGTTCCCGCTAAACCTGGAACAGGTCCCACCCCTAGCATCCCACGATGGCCCCAAGGCACTCCCGCTGGGCCTGCCTCTCACGCTGCGGATCTAGCCCAGGCCCACAGAGCAGCTTGGTTCTGGCACTCAGGGCTTCGGTGTACCTGTGTGTGTGGAAGGCACTCAGGAGCCCTGGCGCTGTCCATCCCTTCACCCCAAGCTCATATCCAGCCTCAGCCCAGGGGAGGAAGGTGAGGCAGGCAGGCCTGACTCTTAGGGGTGCCCCACGCATGCTGCTGCCCCCCAGCAGGAGCACCAGGCACTGAGGGTGCTGGGAGATGGCCCAGGGCCAGACCAAGGAACCGCTGGAGGACGGTCTTTGCCCCAATCTGGGCACCCGTCCTGTCCTGGAGAGCAGGCAACCACAGAGCCAGGCTCTGGCAGCAGAGGAGGATCCTGGGGAGGGCAGGGAGATGCTGCACTGGAGGGCAGTGACAAGCTCTGCAGTGACCGGTCCGTGCTCCCAGGGATGCCCTGTGAGCTCCGAGGGATGCCCTCGCCCAGGGCCACATCCCTGGATACCAGGAGTGAAGAAAGAGCAACTGGAAGACCAGAGGGTCAAAAGTCTCAGCAGCAGTCAGCCTGCTGCTTCCCCCAACGGTGACCAAGGAGTTTCAGTTCTCCTGCCCAGCAGTCCAGTCCCAGGTAGGTCTGCCTCCCATCCAGTCCCCTCCAGCCCCCTGGGGAGCCCTCACACCAGGGGTCCTGCCTGAGATCTGGGACAGGTGGGGAGGGAGGGGCTCTGCACTCACTTGGCTCCTCTGAGGAAGCGGCTTCTCCTCAGGGCCAGCATCTTTTGCAGCACGGGGCAGCAGAGGAGTGCAATCAGCCAGACCAGCCAGTGGCTTCCCCATCCTACTCCAGGCCCTCAGGATTGGAGGCTGCAGAGGGTGGGGCTAGCATGGCCACAGAGCAGGGGAGGAGGCTGCAGCCATGGGTGAGGAGGACTTGGTGTAGGGCCACAACAGGAAGCAGTTGGGGGGCCTCCTCCCTGGGCGCACTCTGGGGCGGGCAGGGAAGCAGGAAGGTGGTGGCCTGCACTCTCCCCCAGCCCTCAGCCCTGCACACCTGAGAAAGCGCTGTCCAGGCCCCTGGGCCTCTGATTGGACAAAGGCACCAGAGGCTGGGGACTCTCTGGGGACAGAACAAGCTCCGAAGCAGCTGCTTCTTCCGGTGCCGCTCCCACAGGAACAGAGGTTGACTTCCAGGACAGTCTGTTGTCCTCGCCTGAGAGGTCCCCCCCCCCGGGGGGGGGCTGCTTCCCAGGGCCCAGGCTCTGAGCCCTGTGCCAGCTCCATGCTCACCCCTCCTCGCCCAGGGCCAGCCCACCTGGCCTCTGGGGAGATGTCACCAGAGCTACAGTGGCCCTCGGGTTTGTGCGCTGCTGGCTTAAGGGAAGGAACCTCCCACACACAGCAGCTGGAACAGAGCAAAGCTTGGACCACTGGGCCTGACCATGACCGGGGAGGATAGCTAGAACCAGGGAAGGATCCCTGCAGTGATGGTGACCCCCAGTGCTGGTGCCAGAGGCACACCCTTGTGCTTTTACAAGGCTCTTACTGCGAGGACTTTGGGGCCCAGGGGCTGGTGCCAGCCCTGTGTCACATCACGGCACTTGAGAGGCTCCTAGGGACAAAGAAAGTAAAGAGTCCAGAGCCTGGTGGCCATGGGGGTTGGGCAGGCAGGGACTCCTCTGACTTGGGGGTAAGGGCACTGTTGGCCTTGCTCACATTTAGGGGCTCCTGGGAGAACCACACACCACTGGGTCAGGAGCACTTGTGGAAGCTAGAATGTGGATGCCTGGAAGCCCTCTCTCATTGAGGGAGCCTTCCCTGAACCCCCATCACACTCAGGATGGCGGCACATCCTCCTCCCTACTGCCCTGACCTGGGGCCCTCCTCCTCTCTGGGCTGTGGGCTGCAGGGCAGGGACCCCTCCAAAGCTAGGTTAGTACATCCTGCCTACCCCCTGCTTCCCTGCTGTGGCTTCTGTGACTGTATTCCTGGCCCTCCCCCATGTCTCCCCAGATTTTACCTCCCTCTGCATCCTCAGCACAGGGGTCCCCAAAGTTCTTCCCAATTCCTCTCGGGCCCCATCCTGAATCCCGCCCACCATCTCAGCACACTGCCCCAGTGTCCCCAAGTGAGCTGCCTCTCCCACGTCCCCACGTCTGAGGGGTCTCAGACCACCTCACCAGCTCTGGGCCGGGCACAGCCAACCCGGATGGCTCGCTGCACTGCAAGTCAACGTGGCTGGGCACAGCTCATCATCAACCCGATCCCCAACTCCAAGAGAGACGAAGGACGACCATCCTCCCCAGCACCCAGGGCAAAAGCCCAGACAGCTGCAAGATGCTGCTCGAGCTATCCTCACCCCTCACCCCTCACCTCTTCACCTCTGCGAGGACTTGGAGCGAGGCCAACACAGGCTCCAGCCCTAGCTCTAGCCTGTGCAAACGGCACAACTAGTGGTACCTCACAGGGTTATGGAGAGGACTTAATGAAATACAGTTGGCCCTTGAACAACGCAAGAGTTAGGGGCACCGACCTCCGCACAATCCCAAATCCACGTGTAACTTTCAGTTCCCCAAACTTAACTTCTCATGGCCTCCTTTTGACTGGAAACCTTCCCCGTAACATGAACAGTCAACTAACACAGTGTACATGATACTTCGGACCCACTGTATTCTTATGGTAAACTAAGCTACAGAAAACGTTATTAAGAAAATCGTAAAGAAGAGAAAAGATGTTTACAGTATCGTGCTGTGGAAAACCTGCAGTAGACTGGTGCAGTTCAAACCTGTGTTGTTCAGGGTCAAGGGTAATGTTCAGAGCGCCCAGTAAACAGTGGCTAACGTGACTACTAGCCAGTATTGTCCCCTCTTCTCCATTTGTAGTCACTGTCCTAGGTCAGGCCTTATGAGCTCAGATCCCTGACTACTGTGACAATCCCTTCCCTGCCAAGTCACCACCATCTGCCCACTGGGATGGTGTTTTTTCAATAGCACTTCCACCCACGTTCCTCCCCTGCTTGCTGCGAACCCTCAGCTGACTCCCTGCTGCCCTTGGAAGGTCCTTATCTTGGCCTTAGCGCCTTTTCACAAATTAATCCCAACCTTGCCTCCTCTGTTTGCTCTTTTCCAACCAAATGAGATACTCCCATTTCTGTCTCTGTGCGGATGGTTTTCTCTGCCTACCCAGAGCCCTCTTCCTCCCTGAAGGCCTTGGAAACTCCTGATTGGGAGCCCCGGGGCCCAGCGCCTGCCTCTCTTCTGGCCTCACCAACCTGGGTGGGCTCTGTGTGCTCACTTCACTCGCTGGCTATGTGACTCTGGTCAAGAGCATTAACCTCCTTGTCCCCATGAATGGCGACAACGCGATATCAAACCAGACAGAGTCCTAGGAGGGTGCCTGGCCCTTACTAAATTGCAGAAAATGTTGGACGTTGTTCCGAAAGACAAAAAAAACCAACCTGTCAGAGGTTCCCACTGCCTAAAGTAAACCCCCTTTAGCTGGTAGTCAATGCCTTCCCACCTCAACTCTGCTGTTTGCTGACTGGCCCCGGCCTGGTCACCACCCCTTAGCACCTGCCAGGCCCACTGCCTGCAATTTCTTCCCACCACACTTTTCCATGTGGAAAAATCTCAGGTCTCTGAGACCCCGGTTCTGGTTATTGCTAACTTGAAGGCTGTGCCCTGCACCTGCCTCTCAGGATGGTCCTGCTGGGTTGCTGGGACACCTTTGGGTCCTATGTGCATGACCACACCCCTGACCCCACTCTCTTATGCTTGGAGTTGGTTTCTGGAAGGAAGGCGCTGGTCTGACTGGGCTGTGCATGTTCACAACCAGCCTGGGGCCTGGGCTGTATCCCCCTTCCTTCTCTGGAGCATGAGGACCCAGAAGGCAGAGGCACATGGCCTTCCAGCGCCTCCCCCTGCCTAGGAGCCAGTAAACTCAGTGATACTGGTGCAAATGCAGGTCTCTCCCTTCCTCTCCTTAGAGCTCTAGAATGACAAAACCAAAGGCCTTTGGGGACCTTCTTATCCAAATGCATCATTTTAGAGATGGGGAAACGGGGGCCAAGGACTCGCTGGAAGTCACAAGCAGAGATGGCAGAAGGAAGAGCCAGGTCTCCCAGACTGCTGACCCAGCCTCTTGTCTCTGGCAGGCCTTGCTTGGGGGCACCCCGACCCCGGCCAGCCTGCCCTACCTGAAGCAGTCTGCGTGCCAGTCAGCATTCAGGGCCTGGAGGTACTGGCCATCATAGATCCTCTGGCCGCAGCTCGCACACATGGGCAACTCACTTCCTGCAAGGAAGACAGGGAGTCAGGAATCATTCTTCGGAGGCGCCGTCTGTTGCAGGCCCAGCCTGCCCTGCCCACCCCACGTAGACCTGTACATCCTCGTGCATATACAGGCAGCACCCAGGCACTGCGCTTAGCAAAAGAAGAAAGCACACAGGTCTGAGAGCCTTGCTGAGATCTTGCCTAAGGCACTAAGCCTCTGTGGGCCTTGGTTTCCCTGTCTGTAAACGGAAGAGGAGGATCAGAAAATGTCCACTCTCCAACAACAGCATTCTTCTGCTTCATCTCCTGTCAGGCAAGGTCAATAGGGAGAAAGATAGTGGCAGAACTTAGAGATAAGGCAGCAGGTGACACTCTTGTAACAGCCCCTTTCTTCCCCTGCCTGTCCAGGAAGAGGAGCTTTGAAAGGGCAAGGACTGGACAGGGCTGGGCTGGTGTATCTAGGGCTGAAGACCCCAAAGGAGCAGAAAGGCAGGAAGTCCAGAGGTGCTGGCCTCATCTCAATCTCGGCTCTGCCTTGGCCTAGGAGGGCCTGGGGATGCAGAGCTGGGCACTTCCAGACACCTCCTCAAGCCAGCCACTAGGCATGCTTAGTCATTCTAGGGGCCTGGTATCCTCAGAGCAGGGTGGGCCCTGGAGGATCCCCCAAAGCTGCTCCTTCCCATTGTATAGATGGGGAGACTGAGTCCTGGAGAGGGTAAGGCTTGCGTGGTCACACAGTTAAGGCTCCCAGGTCACAGCCTGGCCCTCCACGAGGACGCAAGGACCTAAGGTAGGGGTGATAGTGAGATGGGCACTTGCCCCAAGCAGGCCTTCAGGGGCCTGGGGGAGGGCTGGCAGGAGCCCTAGGAAAGAGCAGGCCTGGAGGGGCTGGCGGAAACCGGACCTGCACTGGACCAGGTGAGCCTCTGTGACGGCTGCCAGGGAACCTAGGGAAGGCAACCCCATGGAGGGAGTCCTGGGGGGTCTTCATATCCTTACCTGTCCTGCAACCCAATCCTTAGGCCCCAGGAAGGGGAAAGGAGGGGAAGAGGAGACTAAGCTGAGAGTCAGCCTCCCAGCCAAGACTGATGGCAGGCACTAGGTTTGGTGCAGGGAGAGGGGGTAGGGGCCCCAGGATACTGCCGACGGTTCCCTGGAGGAGGCTTCTCTCTGCTCTGCCCATCAGGGCCTCCAACCATCAGTACCGAGGGGCAACCACCCAGTCCCCGATTGTAAAGTGGGTAAACTGAGGCCTGGCACGTAGCACCTGACTCAAGGTCACGGAGCTGGGCAGAGAGCTCGGAACCAGGGCTGCGGCTTCCCCAGCACCTCTTTCTTCCCGGCCGGCTTAGAGACAGGATAAGGGGGCCCCAGTGCGAGCCCCGGGTGGGCCGAGCACGCGGAGGGGGGCCGGGGCCGGCCGGGGCGGGCGGGGACGAAAGGGAGGAGGGGCCACGGCCCGGGAGGGGGAAACCGAGGGGGAGCGCGTCAGGGAGGGGCCTGCGGGCTCGGGAAGGGCGAGCTCATCCCCAAGGAGGCAGGGGCGCGGCCTCGCGGCAGACCCGGCCCCCTCCCGTGCACCCGCTCCCCGGCGGCCCCGGCGGCCCCGGCGCGACGCCCCCGCCCGCCCGGCCCGCGCCCCGCGCCCCGCGCACCTTCTTCTCCCATACGTTCTTCCCTCCAGGTGCAACAAAGTAGCGTCAACCTCATGCACTCGGCGGGGGGCGGGGCCGGCGGGCTGGGGCTGGGGCTGGGGGGGCGGCCCGGGCCCCGCGAGCTCGCCCGCCGCCGCCGCCGCCGCCGCCGCAGCCGCTGGCCCGGGAGGCGGAGGGCGCGGGCCGGGCCGGGCCGGGGTGCGCTCGGGGCTCGCGGCGCGGCCGCCGCCTCTCGGACACCGGGTCCGGCACCGGCTCCGAGCCGCGGCCGCCCAGGGAGCGAGCGGAGGGGCGGGCCGGGGCGGGGCCTGGAGCTGCGGCACGAGGGCGGGGCGGGGCGCGGGCGAGCGGCCCAGCTGCCCTGCGCGGCCCCGCCCCGCGCCCTCGGCGGCGCCCGCCCCGCCCTTTCATTCATCCTCGCCCGAGCGCCGGGTCCCTGCAGGGCGCCGCGACGCCGGGGCTCGTAAGCCGAGGTCCGCGGCCTCGCAGGGGAAGCGTGCTCCGAGGCGGCACCGAGGGAGATGCACAGGCCCGCAGAGGGGGCCTCGACTTCCCCGCGGGGAGCCCCCGCGACCCAGCCCCGAGCTGGAGGAGGCGGTGTGGGCCCTAGGGGCCGAGGTGGGCGCCTCGGAGAGGGCGCCTGTCAGGTCCTCGCCCTCTCTGAGGCCCGCAGTGACGTCTCGTCTCGGGCCTCACCGGCTAGGCAGGGAGCTGCAAGAGGAGGATCTGGAGAGGGCCGAATCCGCCCAGGGGTCTGCCCTTTCGCGTGCCCGAGATCTGGAGCTGGCGCTGCCCTCAACAGGGTTTGGGCTGGGTGAAATGGCCGGAGCAAGCGGGCTGTCCCCAAACACAGGTCCCCAGCCTAGCACTGAAGAAGAGGACGACCCTGCCTAAAGGGGGAGAATCCCAGTATGCTGGACCTGGGGAGGGGGTGACCCTTCCTCCCTTTAGGCACTCCCACTTGATCCCGGGGCAGAAAGGTGGTGAGTGGAGAGCTTGAACCACGTGCCTTGGTACACCCAGTAAACAAGGGTGTCTGGGCACAGCTGCCCAGACTTGGGCTCTACATAACATGTTTGTGTAGACTCGTCTAGCCAGGGCCCGCAGCCCATGGCCTGCAAGGCAAGGGCACTCACTCCTGGGTGCAAAAACAGTTACCTGGGGACGCGAGAAAATATTAGAATTTTAATTTTTGATAAGGAAGAAGCTGGGCCTTTAAAATGCATAATATTTAGATCGGTGTTGGTGCCCTTCCTCTGTCTGTTGGTCAGATGGCTTTGGGAGAGGGCCATAGCGCAGGGTGGAGGATGGCACCACAGAATGAACCTGGAAGGGCCGTGGTGATGTTGTCAAGTTTTAACAAAACAAAAGCTGGTAGAATGGCCTCCAGGCTGCCAAAGATTCCTGAAAAGAAAGCAGAGGTTGAAGACAATGCTAATATAAGACTAACAAAAAAGATGGAGCTGGCACTTCTATCCTGATAGAACCAATGAGTGGCTCTTCAGATCCGATGCATTCAGTCGCATTGCTCATATAAGGTATTAAATTTTTTTAACAAAAGAGGAATTTTTTACTTTTATTAATTTTTAATAAGATTTTATTTATTTATTTGACAGAGCACAAGTAAGGGGAGTGGCAGGCAGAGGCAGAGGGAGAGGGAGAAGCAGGCTCCCCTTGTAGTAGGGAGCCTGAAGTGGGACTGGATCCCGGGACTTGTGACCTGAGCCGAAGGCAGACGCTTAACCACTGAGCCACCCAGGAATTTTGTACTTTTAAATAATATAACCTTTCAAATACTGGTTTTTTTTTTTTTAATCTTTTGAGGACTCTTAAACTCTGCTTTTGCATGGTTATGTGATGAACATATTTTATTTGTGTAGTCCCATATGTCTATAATTTACAACTGAATATGAGTACTTGTGTGTGGTGGGGAGCAAATTCAGAGCCTGATTTGGGTACCTGTTTGCCATTCAAGTGACAAACATATATATATATATATATATATATATACACATATATATGTATATATAACATATATGTATGTATATATATACATATATGATGGTTGCTCAAAAATATTTTAATGATGGGGGTTCACGATAAAAATTTTCTAGATGAGGGGTCAAGAGCTCTGTTGCAAAGGCTCCTTTACCCCAGGTCAGTGATCGGGATTTATCCAAACTTGCTACACTGGTGCCTGGCTAACACAAGCTGGTGACAAGCAAAAAGCTCCGTGGAGACACTGTCACAGTATGAGCCCAAGACTGTCATCCAGGGCAGGGGCCTGAGCCTGGGCTGTCCTAGCCTAGGGACAAAAAGAGCTGGTATCACGAGCTCCCTGTGGTCAGGCACAGTCTGTCCCCTTCTTGCCCACTCTGGTTGACCATACCCAGACATGCGGGTCAGTGACTCCCCTGCCCTGTCTTTGACCCAGCTGTCACTGGCACCTCACACTCAGTGCGTCTAGGCCGGAACTGTGTGCCTGGAGCTCTTCCTCCACAGGTGTTCATCTCTGTAACACCACCTTCATCTCGTGGTTCAGGCCAAAACTAGCAGGTGGCCTTGGCTTTTCTCAATCTCTCCCACTGCCCCTTGCATCTGATCCATCGGCAAATCTATTGACTTTCTGTACAAAATATATCTGGAATTTTACCCCTCCTCCTCCCTGGTCTAGCCAGGTGCACAGTGTGATAGTCCCCAGCTCATGTCCAGCTCATGTCCACCTATTACCCCTTGGAGCCTCTGAACACATGGGTCAAAGTGTGGCCTTTTCTTGCCTTTTTTTTTTTTTAATTTTTATTTATTTATTAATGAGAGACACAGAGAGAGACAGAGACACAGGCAGAGGGAGAAGCAGGTTCCATGTAGGGAGCCTGACGTGGGACTTGATCCCAGGTCTCCAGGATCACACCCTGGGCTGAAGGCAGGCACCAAACTGCTGAGCCACCCGGGCAGCCCCTTTTCTTGCTTTTAAACCCAAAGCCCTTGGGGCACCTGGGTGGCTCAATGGTCCTGGGATCCAGTCCCACATCAGGCTCCCCGCAGGGAGCCTACTTCTCCCTCTGCCTATGTCTCTGCCTCTCTCTGTGTGTCTCTCATGAATAAATAAATAAAATCTTTAAAAGAAAAATGAACCTAAAGCCCTTCCTTTCATCTTTACAGGACTTAGCCCCTGGCTACTTTGGTTTTATTCTCTCCTTGCTCACTTTTGGTAACCAGGTGTATCTGTTGTTCGGACTTCCCAAGCGTATGCTCATCATCTCAGGGTCTTTAACTGGAGGTCAGATGTCCTGATAACTTAACATTCTTTCTCACTCTTTA